ATAGATGAGGGGTTTGTTTATTCATTAAATAACTCGTGTTTTATATTATATCTCAACAATCTAATCGTTGAATTTAAAATTTTTAATGCACAAATTAAATTTATAAATTAAAAAAAAAATATTTGATATTTTATTTTATTAATTAAAATTGATGAATAATTTAAAAATATATTATCCGTCAATTTGAATTAATGAAGCGAAATATCAAATGATTTTTAAATTTTTTAAAAAATTGTAAATTTATTCTATATATTAAAAACTTTAAATCAAACTTTTGGATTGTTGAAATTTGATATAGAGCATGAGTAATAAATTTAGATAAACTTACTTTTAAAATAAAACGGATCCCTCCTCATATATATATATAGTGAGTTATTAAAAACAATTTTTAATCAATTATAATTTGTCTTTTCATTGAATTTTGGTGGAAAAATTGATCGAATGTTGTTTCTTTGTTATTTCCCTTCTATTTTGAATATTAAATCATAAATTGTTAACCCGAAACTTATCTTTTTATTTTATTTTTCTCTTTTATATTTCATCTGTACAAAATAACACTAATTTTTTCTATCATCTGTATTTCCATCCTCTTCACTCAATTTCATGGCCATTTCTTTCCTACCAAATAAAATGTTAGTAAAAAATAGTAAAAAATTATTGATAATTATAATAGGTGATATGATATCATAAAAAATAAAGATTTAGAAAATAAAAGTGTTAATTAGATGTTTAAAATAAAGTGTGCAAATATCATTGCTCATAAAACTATATATTTTTTATAGGAAGGATCCGTTCCATTAACAATTCAATCACTTAAAATTTCAACTAAAATATTTTTTTAGCATTGAGCATGCGATCAATTGGAATGAAATTATTTTAATTTAATTAATAGACTTGAATTAGTCCTGTATATGTAATTTGTGAAATATTCATAGGGACAAATGTTCATAATAGTTTTATTTGTCTCGAATAGTATTATCTCATGTTATATTAAAAAAAATATAGATTTTTTAAAAAGTAAAAAAAAATAGTTAGCTTAACTTTTCTTTGTAAATAAAATTGGCCAAACATTTATTAATAAAAGCTCTTTAAAAAAATAAGTAATTTTTTTTGTAAACATTAAAAATTTAAATTAAGTATCTTTTTAAAAAGTGAGTGCGAGATGCAACATTCCTAACACAATGAGACAGTTTTAGAGAGTAGAGATTGTATTGTTGGAGGAATAAATAAAGCCTTACATTAGGTTTGATCAACGGATCAATTCAGAGAGATTCAAGACAAAAAAAAAAACCCAATTTGAAGCAACCTGTATCTGAAAAATATAAACCCATTTTCGACCATACTTTTATCAGGTAAGACAAGTCTCAAGTTAGGCGGGTCTTGGGTTGGGTCGAATGGATTGAATTGCTTTAAGCCTACATCTAAGCTAATATTTTTTCTAAACCTTAACTTAAGGACCAAAAAGCCCAATCTGAAGCAACTTGTATCTAAAAAAATATAAGCCCATTTTCGACTGTACTGTTATCAAGTAAGACGAGTCTTGAGTTAGGAAAATTTTGAGTTGGGTCAGGTGGATTGAATTGTTTTGAGCTTAAATTTGGGCTAATATGTTTTTAAAAACCTTAATGTAGACTTCATTGTATGTCTTGCTTAAGTCAAGGTTAGGCTTTTTCCTTTTAACATGAAGTATAAAAAAAAAAACAACTACTAAAAACATAGATTTTAAGAGCGAGAAAAAAATAAAGAAAAAATAGACCAACCTAAGTAAGAGCTTGAAGATGGAAGGAACTTTCATTGCATGAATACAAATAAGAATGTCGACGACTATTGGAAGATACTTGAGTGAATGAAAGGTCAAAGGGAGAAAGTGACAAGAGGGAGTGAGCAATGACTTAGGGGTTGGTTGTGAGCATTAATGAGAAACAATTTATATGTTGGGTTTTTTTTTTTGACACTTCATTAGTGTTTGGACCCGTCGATTTTGAGTTTCAACGAATCCCTTTTCCAAAAACTAAAACAAACATCTTAAACCATCTCAAATCAAACTTTGAAACCCAACCTGATAATTCAAAATTATTCGTTCGAAATGTTAAATTTTACTTCAGATTTGTCGAGTTTAGGACGAGTATAGAAAATCTCTTCACCTCTATCTCACATCATTAGAATATTAAGAAGGACATAAATTTATAATTACATAAGTATCTCTATTGATATGAGGTCTTTTAGGTGCTAATCAAAAGAAAATTTACAAATATTTAGGTACAAAGTGCACAATATTATATAAATGTAGAGGCGTATATATGAACTTCTACCCATTCAAATGAACATCATAGAAAGGGTTACTCAAATGAGGTTTTGACTAATAGAAAGATTTGATCAATAATAAGTTGAGTGAAGTGTTACCATGTAAAATATCGTAAAATGTAGTTGTTGAAATGTTAAATTTGAGGAGCATTACATAAGGAGCTTATTATAAACTTATGACATCTCTAATAAGAGTTGCTTATTGTGTTGTTTAATAATAAAATATTATTTTAATAAGCCACCATTAATTTTTGGTTGCTCAAAATTAAAGAAAATTACTTATATAAATAATTATTTTTATTATAGATTATTCAACATTTGTGTACGTACATGTAAGAGAGAGGATACGAGATATTGAAGAGAGAGAGAGAAATAGAACATATGTTTATAAGCTAAGTGATTTTTTTTTGAATAAAAACTTACATTAAAATGAAAATTAAATAAATTACTTAAAATTAAGGTGCATGAATGAACCTATTTAAAGAAATAAAAATGAATTACTTATTTAAAGTGCATTGAAAATTACATGTTGCACCATGTAAAACAACAATTTCCTTCTTGTTGATATTGCAACATGTAACACAATTTTTTTTATATATTAAATACTTTTTTAGTTTCTGATATTAAAAAAAAAATACTAAAGTTGTTTTTAATTTTTAATTTTGAGAATAAAATGATTAAGTAATTTTTTTCTTCTAAAACAAGAAAATGAAAATAAATTTTATATTTGTATTAGGACCCTGTCTATTACCAGAAAGTAATAAAAACGAAGCAAACTAAAGGGTTGACGACTAATACTTACATTCATTTATTAAACTTGAAAATTAAACTAAAACACAGAAAACCAAAACGCCGTTGCCGGGGATCGAACCCGGGTCACCCGCGTGACAGGCGGGAATACTCACCACTATACTACAACGACTTGTTGATGAGTGCTTCAAAAGAAATTTATAAAAAGCCTAGAAAATAAATTATGGGTCTTTCTGGAAAATTGAAAACCTTGGAGCAATGTAATGTAAGTTGTCATTGTTGAAGGGTCTGAAATCGAGTAATGGAAGCGACCTTCTCTTCAACAACGACAAGAGGATACTGGAATCAGGCACGTCCTTGGCCAGGTCTGCTTCTTTGTAATCCTTCTGATTTTCCCAACGGAGTTTCTTTTCGCATAACATTCCCTCCTCCTCTTATTGTAATTGCGCGCTCACTACTCACCACTTCAATTTCGCTTCACACAGAACCTTTGTTGCTGAGAACAGTGGAGCCTCGCGATCGGAATCCGTTTTCAGTCTCCATCGCGCGCCCTAGCAAGTTTCTGCAGCTGTCACTTCCTCAAACCAGGAACAGGAATGGTTCTATCTTTAAGGTTCACAATTCAGATTTCTCTTGTTTCAAACGATTCAATTGTATAATGCAAAAACCTCAAATACAATTCCAAAACGATTTGCAAAAGAAAATTGATTTATCAAATCGAATTTTCATGTTATTTCGACTTAATATTTCATTTGCATGTTTGAGATATTTCAAATGCGCGCAATTTTTCGTCAGTGTTGGCGCTGCTTGTCTTGTTAAATCTGTTTGGTACTGTTTTTTGCTCTGCCAGGTTTTATCTGCCGAAAAGGAACAAGTTCATGTTGTAGAGAGAAGGTATAACGTCTTTCGTGTTATAACTTTGAAGTGTTTGCAATCTTCATATATACTTTTTTCTTCTTCTTTCATTTACTTGCACATATAACATAAATAATATATGAGATAAATGTCAAGTTCGTTTGTGGAGTATGGTGCAGCGAACCTGTTATTTATATTCACGGCCAAATTTTGCTAATCTTTTTAAGAGAAATGTTGTCAGAATTCAGAATGCTACTTTTCTTACGTGATATGTGCTAGAAAAGTATAATTCAATGATAAAACTGATTTTGCTCTTTCTTGTCCACAAAGAACCATAGTTATTCGAAAGCATAGTTTAGCTGCTATTACTGAAACTTACGGAGCAGTTGATTCCTCATGAAAAGAAACTTAGGTGAACCGGAAAAAGCAGTGCACGAAGATGAAAATAGCATTGTAATTTGCCTACATTTTTTTTATGGTGTAAAAAGCTATGAATAGATTGTCTGAACTGAGTTGATTTAGGTTCTTCTTTTGTTTGCACTTTGCAGTAATGTTGATGAGTTATATGATGAATTGGTCTCACGACTTCTTCCTTCGGTTTTATTGTCATCAAATCCTAATGACAAGTAAGTTGTTGTTTGTGGAATTATGAAAACAAATAAAGTTGGTTCTGAGTATTGCTGCAATTATACAGAATGAAATTTGCCGTTACAGAATGATGTATGCTCATCACCATGCACGTATAGTGTCATTAAATTTGTACACTCCACCACCAATTTCTGTCCTATGTGCCAAATGCATTGATGGTTGTGTATTGACAGTCCTATCCACTGTATGATTCTGTAGTATTATGGGATTGTCATAATTATAGTATGATTTATTACTTACTTTTATCTAGTGAATCACCAAATTCTGTTGTTAAAGCTTCGGTTAGGTTGTGCAAAACTGCTATTTTGCTTATCTACTTGCCATTCTGCACTACATTTTTTAATCAGAAAAACATCTTAAGTTATCTTCTTCAATTATATTAGGCCATTTATTATATGAAGGCTAATAAAGTAGTTAAATCTCCCTCTACTTTTTTCTTTTTGGTGAGGCCGGTGAAGTAAAAGATATCATCAAACATCAAATAGTTATGCAATCCTTTAGTGTGCTATTCCTTCTGTATTCACGTTAATAATGATTTCTGTGATATTACATAGGCTTTTAGTTGGCCTGGCTGGTCCTCCAGGTGCTGGAAAAAGCACCCTAGCACATGAAGTAGCCAAACGTATAAACAAAATTTGGCTAGAGAAAGATTCTTCCTTTGACTCTGAGGTTCAACTTCCTGATGTTGCTATTGTGGTTCCCATGGATGGTTTTCATCTTTATCGTGCTGAGCTAGATGCAATGGAGGTTGGTGCCCTTTTGTTACTCACCATTTTTTTTCCATATGAAAATTTATTATTCTCAGTGATGATCTAGAGTTGATAAGTATGAAGTGATGGTAAATTGGCCCACCCCAAAAGAAGTAAAAGGGTTGAGAGGTTTTTTAAGTATCACAGGTTACTATAGGCGCTTTGTGAAAGGTTACGGATTGATAGCAAGGCCTCTTACAAAGTTACTCAAGAAAGATGGTTTTAAGTGGACTGAAGAGGCTGAAAGTTCTTTCAATCAGCTCAAGCAAGCAATGACTTCTTTGCCAGTTTTGGCTATTCCAGATTTCTCCAAGCCATTTGTTGTTGAAACAGACGCATCTAGTAAAGGAGTGGGGGCTTTCTTGTTACAAGAAGGGAAACCTGTTTCTTTTTTTAGCCAGAAATTATCACCACGGGCTCAACAAAAATCAGCTTATGAACGAGAGTTGATGGCTATAGTAATGTCAGTACAGAAATGGAGACATTATCTCCTTGGTCAGCATTTTATCATCAAGACAGATCAAAAGAGCTTAAAATTTCTTACTGATCAACGAATTATGGGGGAGGATCAATTTAAATGGACATCCAAACTGTTTGGTTTTGACTTTGAAGTGCAATACAAACCCGGAAGTACAAACAGAGTAGCAGATGCCCTCTCCAGACAAATGATGTATTCAGCTTTGTCAGGATTAAATTTAGCTGAATGGGAGGCATGGGAGAAAGAACTTGCAAGTGATGAAAGCATGAAACAACTTATACAAAAGGTCACCTTACAACCTGAGACCCTTCCAAATTTTTCTATGAAGAAGGGCCTATTATTCTTCAAGGATAAGTTGATGCTACCTAAGCGTTTTTCTCGAATTCCTATTATTCTTTTAGAATTTCATTCTTCACCTCAGGGAGGCCACTCAGGTTTTTTTAGAACTTACAAGCGCATTTCGGTTGTTTTCCATTGGGAGGGTATGAAAGGTGATATCAAACAATTTATAGTCAAGTGCATTACGTGCCAACAGAATAAATATGAAACCTTATCCCCAGCGGGTTTATTACAACCTTTACCCATTCCTTCAAAGGTATGGTCTGACATCTCTATGGACTTCATTGGAGGGTTGCCTAGAGTGCAAGGCAAAGACACTATTATGGTGGTTGTTGATAGGTAAACGAAATATGCTCATTTTATGGCATTGGGGCATCCTTTTACTGCTAAAGAGGTGTGGTAGAGGCGTTTATCACTGCAATAGTAAAATTACATGGTTTTCCGACTTCAATTATATCTGATAGAGACAAAATTTTCCTCAGCCATTTTTGGACAGAATTATTCAAACAGTCGGGTACCAAATTAAAATACAGTTCAGCTTTTCATCCACAAATGGATAGGCAAACGGAGATAGTTAATAGATGCCTTGAGGCATATTTACGTTGTTTTGTAGGGGATAAACCTCGTTCTTGGCCTAAATGGTTGTGTTGGGCAGAATTATGGTTCAATACCAATTTTAATATCTCCATAGGAATGACACCATTCAAGGCTCTGTATGGAAGAGAACCCCCGCCCATCATTAAAGGACTCACTTTTCCATCTACGGTTTAGGCAGTTAATATGTTGGTAGAAGATAGAGATGTTGTGCTTGACCAGTTACACCAAAATTTGATTGTGGCTCAACAAAGGATGAAGAAACAAGCAGATAAGCATAGACGGGATGTGACTTTAGTGGAAGGAGATTGGGTGTATCTCAAAGCTTCCCCGTACAAATGGAAATCCTTAGCTAAGAGGAGAAATGAGAAATTAAGTCCTAGATTTTATGGCCCATTTCAGGTGCTGGAGAAAGTAGGGTCAGTGGCTTATAAATTGTCTTTACCGGCTGATTGTAAGATCCATCCAATGTTCCATGTTAGCAAGCTGAAGCAAGCAGTTCGTGCTGAATATCAACCGCAATATTGGAGTATATCTTTACTCCTTATATTAAAATTGTATTAGATATGTTATTGTATAGGGTTATTATTCCAGCCTGTTATGTTATGTATTTTTCTGTTTTAGCTTAATTACTTGTTCAACAGGTCAATGTTTCAATAGCTTTCCTTGAAGCTATTGAAACATATAAATAGGACAATTGTATTCTGATTAACGACTGAATATACAATTTACTTCTTTCTGATTAATTCTGCTCTCCCTCTATTTTCTTTCTCTCTGCTTTCCAAGACTGACATAATTCTAATACGCAACAACTACCAGCAACATTGACAGAGGATTGGAACTTTATCCTCAGTTGGAGGATGTGTTGGCTCTGCTTTACAACAAGCTAAGACACGCAGAAGTGCTAGTAAAGTGGGCCCAGCTCCCCGATTGTGATAATTCATGGGAAACTGTTGAGGACATTCAACATCATTTTCCAGATTTTCACCTTGAGGACAAGGTGAAACTTTTAGGGGGGAGTATTGATAGGAGACCAATAGTTAAAAGAGTCTACACTAGGCATAGAAGGGGGGACAGAACTGTAACAGAATAGGTCTTTAAATAGAAAAAAGAAGGGAGTTAGTGGAGGGCGGAGGATAACAGAATCATAGGAGAGAAGTCTCTCGAATACCTCATTGTATTTTCCTTTTACTTGTATTGATCCAGACTTTTGCTGAATAATATACAAGGCTTAGACCCAAAGTTCTTTTCATACTATTCAATCTTTCTATAATATCACTTGGAATCTATCAACATTACCAAGTGAACAGTGAACAGTGAACAGTACATGATGAACAGTACCACGATGAACAGTGCACACAAACAGCCTTTTTTTATATCTAACGGGCAAAGGAAAGTTGCACCTCTTGGTCTGACAACTGGCAGTGCCGTGCGCAATTACAGTGACAGACAATACGTCAAAATATCAAGCAACGAAAAATACGCCAATATTGATAAGCAGAAACAGAACTCCCAAGATCGGGAGCTCGGATATTGAAAAAAGAAACTGTATATTAATTATCTATTTTGTACATTTTCTAATATCCCTATATATAAAGTAAACAGCTAAGCTTAAATAAGGAAATAACAATAATAAAGAAATAGGAAAACAAAATAATAAGGAAATAGGGGAACCAATATCTAAAGATATTCTAGATCTTCTAAATATTTCTGATATTTACAATATTTTGTTATATAAAAAATCTTTAGAGGATAACAAGAGAAAGGACTCAAGTGCTGATACAATATGTATCAGAGGTACCTGCAATGGAAATAGAAAATAACAGAATAGAGAGGAAAGAAACCAGATTTCCAGAGAGCAAGGCTCTCCCAAGCAAGAGAGGAGTATCTCTCTGCTCCCAATATCACTAACCAATTTCTAAAAGATGTCCCATCATTATTACAAAGGAATATATAACCAACCCTCACTTTCTAATAACAGAATCTGTAATTTCCAAAATACCCCTCCTAGCTAACAGCAGTCTCACTAACACTCAGTATTGGGTTTTATTCTTGGGCCTCCGACTATAGACTTGAATGGGTTTGCTCCACTTGGAGGAATGGTTTCTATCAAGTGCCATCCCACAAGGAGGGTGTGACTTCTACCCAACACTAATCAGTTTATCTACGCAATGTTGTTGGTAGTAATAACTGAAAACATAAGGCTTGTGAGATTCATTCTTTAGAAAAATATTATATACAGGATGCTACCTGAACTGACCTCAAACTACATAAAATTGTTTATTCACAAAAATAAATCATTTGATACAAGTATGGATCTTAATTCATTCTAAACCGTTACATTAATCAGGTACAACTACTATTAGAAAGGAGGACCTCAATGTAACATCAAACTTTTCATTTGTTACCATATACCTGAGTGTAGTTTGAGACAAGGACAATGCGGTCATTTGTTCTCTGGCGTAAATGAGCTAGTAATCTTGCTAAGACATGCATTTTACCGGATAGCTCAACCCACGCTCCATGCCCTCCCGTCCATGAGCCAGACCTACAATGTATACCCTTATAGGATGACTGAATTAAGACGTCAAATGAATAGCTGAAACTTAAACTAATATTATGTACCTTCCAGATAACATTTCAGGAGGGAAGAATCGGATACAGTCCTCAAAACCTGAAGTTCCTGGACTCCCATTTCGTATGGTATCATAGATAAGCTACAACACACTATGTTCTGTGAGGATGATAGAATGTATAAAACTTACCGTATCATACATGAAAGTAGAAAATGGATTTCCTTCACAAATTTTAATAGAGGATAAGAGGAAATGGATGAAAATGAGAGATTAAAAAAATGTCTATTTGCCAATTTAAATGGCATTGAGAGAAGAGTTTTCACAATTTATTATTATGTACGAGCAAAAAGTTAGCCGATTTAGTTACAAATTGAACTTTACCAAAAAAATATACAGAAAGGACCAATAAAACAACTTTCCCCCACCCTCCTCCAGAAAAAAAGTTCCAGATCATACCTTTGGATGATTGCACAACTTTTTGAGAGCTGTAATGTAAGCCAAAATCTTTGATTGCTTCCGTTCTTCGCTAATTGCCCGCTTAACCTGTTTTTGAGGACATGGACTAATCGATTCAGTTTTGAATTTTGTTAATGTTGTTTTATCGATATCCAACAGTGTAAAACATCTTGTGAAAAATATATGTTTGCTCAATCAAAAATGGACTTTACATTTTTGGATTGTATAAAATGTTTATATAGGTCTGACTGTAGTGGAGTCAACTTGCAGCAAACAACTTCAACTATCTGCACCACAAAAGAAATAGGTTGTGGACATAATTTTAAGAGCACAGTTAATCACCAATTAACTACACAGTTACTTTTCATGTGCTTTAAGGGTCCTAACTTCAGCCAAAATAATAATATGAAAGAAATTATAATATGTTAAAATATTTCTACAATCAAGGGCTGAAATCTACCTTCTGATGGAATCATATGCCATTACCAAACCCTAAAGATTTATTGTTATGCAAAAGCTACTTTACTTGATCTGGCTGGTGGCAGTGAGAATTAACAAACATCTTCAATTTGTGTAATTCTCACATCTTTCAAGGTTTCTTTCAATGAGAAGCTTCTTTGGGATAAAATTTGGCGTTTGGCTTCTACTTCATGTAAAGCTTAGTCTTTTAGAAGGTTTTCTCTTACAAATACATTGAGGGATTGAGTAGCTTAGATTCATTGATGTTTAATTTGATCTCTACTGTTTGTTTTATTTTTTTTTCTAAAAAGGATCTCTTATCCTCCTAACTGTGTACTCATCTATGTTGCATGGGCACAACATGGGACTGCTATGTCCCCAAGTTTAACACTCTTTGACACGTCACAAACGTGCTTCAAACACTTCGGCAAATCATGTCCATACAAATCGAACACGTCTCCATTACGGACACCTACAAAACTGACATGTCCCATCGCAGACACTTGCAAATGAACACATTTCCATCTCGATACACTATTCAATATGCAGATTCAAGATTTAAAAAAAAATCTCAATAAAAACATAAACAAAGAAGGAAGAATTTTAGTTTTTTTTTTTTTAAAAATAATAAATCTCAATAAAAACATAAACAAAAAAGGAAAAATTTGAGGATTTGTTTTTTAAAAAAAAAAAAAGAAAGTCTCAATAAAAATACAAATAAAGATGGGACGATTTGAGATTTTTTCTTTAAAAAAGAAAAAAATCTTGATAAAAACAAAAACAAGGAAGAGAATCATTCTCATCTCTCCTTACTTAACCTTCACATAGTAGAAAAGAAAAATCTTAATAAAAATAGAAATAACGAAGGGAGGATTCAAGATTTAAAAAAAAAAAGAAAAAAAGAATTTTTTGTAGTAGAATATGATGCCTCTTAATAATTTGTTTTTGAGACTTAGTAAGTTATTTTCATGTTAATATATAATTATTTTGTCATGTTATTTGTATTATATGTTATATATTTATCGTGTCCACGTGTCCTATGTTTTTTAATTTTGTTGTATCCTCATGTCTGTGTCCGTGTCGTGTCTAAATCCATGCTACATAGGTATTCACCTCTTTGTCTTTATGAATTTCTTCTTTTAATTTATCGTATTAAAAAAAAAAACACATACACTTCTAATTATTCAATGCAAGGATAGATAATTAATTTTTCAAGAACATTAAAATTGAAAATGAAGGGGGGGAAAGGATTGCACACATATAGTTATTGTTTTTCTTTAAAGCATAAGATTGTGATTGAATAGTGCAACAACTCAGTAAGTTTGGTAGAAAGTTAAAGAAAAGCACAATACCTTAGGTGGCAAGTGATTTGATAACAATGCATTAGTCCTTCTTAATATGAACTGCAAAAACATAGTCTGGTCAATCTTCAGGAAAGCAAAAGTATAGTTTATTATCAAAACACATGAAATTAGTTGCATTTGATTACCATTCAGCTATCAGTTCTATATAATAAATTATTTTAGTTATCAAACAGAATTACGATTTCAATTACTAGTGATGAGTAATAATACAGAGTGGAATCTCAATCACATGCATTACCCGATTAACATTAACACTTAATTCAGCAGAGCGTTCAGCACCTAGCTTCTTCTCTTCTGGGGGGGCAGCAGGTTCTCTTCCACAAATAATCGGTGCCTTCACAATACAAGTAAGCCATAGTAAAACACTAAAGATCAGAAGCAAAGAGAAGGGGGAACCCATTGCAGTATCACATTTCATGAAAACATTCTGAATTTGGTTTATCTTGTTATCTTATCGGTGTCTAACAGAATATTCTGTAAATACTATAAATCTAACAACCGGATAATTCCTCTTACCTAATTCCTGGTAATTTCTAACATAGGACAAGCTATGGCTTTCGAAACAATGCGCATCCAAAATCTAAAATGGCAATCCAATGTGCACCCAATATATAAATGTACCTCATAGTAACGTCGAAAATGCGCAATATCACCCAATATTCCAGGATTAGTAAAGTTAACCATTGCAAAGAATTCTTCTAAGTCATTCTGCAAGTGACATATTTCCAAAAAAAATATAAAAGAATAAAAAACATATGAGGATTTTGGATTCTACTGTGACAAGATAAATGGATACTCGTGCATAGATCCTCACTTGCAAAGGAGTTCCTGACAACAAAATTCTACGTTTGCAGGGGAGAGCTGCCAATGCCTAATCCAGGAAGTTATGTAAGAAACTCAGAAACATGCCAGTAAAGGAGGGAAATAAAATAACTCTACAAATTACAATACCCGGTTTGTTATGGTCTGATCATTTTTCAGTCTGTGAGCCTCGTCACATATGAGAAGATCACATGAGCCACTAGAGCTAAACTTTGACGAATGCATTCGAAATGTCTCATATGAAACAATGAGCACCTGCAAATTGGGGGATTTTATGTTAGTACATATGTAGTTCAAGCTATTCAAACAAAATTCAAGAAATATCACCTGTAAATTGCTTTGTGGACTTATAAAATTGTCAATTCCAGAGATAACATCTTCTCTCGTGCTTTCACATAGAGCAACAAGACGAACTCTTTCTCCAACCCACTTGTTGATTTCGGCTTCCCAATTGCTGACAAGGCTGGTCGGAGTCACAATGATGGCCTTTCGAACCATCGGCTTGCCATCAAACCCTTGACAAATTAGAGTATATAGTAATGTGATCGACTGCAATGTCTTCCCTAAACTGTGCAACAAAGGGAGCCGTATAATGAAAGAAAAGTAGAAAAGCGTACAGTGACAACTGATAGTGACAAGATTTGAAAAGAAAGAAGTTACCCCATATCATCTGCCAAAATGCATCCATGTATATTTGGTGAGGTACACAGCCCCGAGACACAATCAAACATGAACTGAACCCCTTCTCTGCATCAAAAGAGAGTAAAAAGAAATGCTTATTTGGTTTATTTGAAATTGGATTGAGCTGAAGTGTGATGAGCCGACCTCTGATGTGGACGAAGGAAACGAACAAGAAAGGGGTCAACTGTTATGGTGGTGAAATTAGCTTCGGGAGGGCCATTGTCGGAGTCTTGAGGGTGCCATTGCCACAATACAAGAGGATCAATACCCGGGGGCAAAGAGAGTTTGACCTCCTCGACATGGCTTTCGGTGACCGAGACTGGTACGTTCAATTTCAACTCCTCCAACGCAGGTCTAGGAAGAGCAGAGGAAGAACCCCAGGGAACAAACCTTTTGCGAGCGGAAAGCCTACGAGTGAGGTCTTGATTGTAACCAGAAGCATCAGATTTAGAGCACGGAGGTTTAAAGGGTTTTCTACAAACAGCGGCTCCTTGCGAAACTGATAGAACTCGCGGTAGCAACGATTGTCTCTTCACGATGAGGTTGCCCCTGCAATTCAATACAATTTTAAATGTATAAATCAAATCTCAAATTCATGTTCATAACTGCGAAAATAATAATACCTCACCTGATCAGGGCATCCACATTCTGCGATTTCCGTTCTTCGACATCATCGTCGCCCGAATCAGAAGAACACCAAACCCCTTCGTCTTCCTCTTCCTCCATCTTCACGACGCCCCGCGAAACCTTTTCATTCAAATAAATACCGTTTTATCCGTAAATTCAATTCCTTCACTTGTACCTTTGCCCTTATAGTATTATAATAATAGTAATCAATCAAAATACCACTCACTCACTGAATTAGCACTTTTGGTTTTGGCACTTGTTTTATCACGCAACAATGAGATGGGAGAATTAAAGGGTCATACCGAGATCATAATATAATATGTCGGCCAGTGTAAGCCGACATAAACCCCGAGATCAACGAAATCGATATCTCAATATATAAACAACATCAAATATATGACACGTGCCAATAGCGATCAACCTAACCATAGTTAACTCACCTCGGACAACTGCTACAGCGGCAAATGAATGTTAAATCAAGCTAATTAGACACTTATCAATGAGCAAGCAATCAAATCAAATGTACTTGAAAGTTTGATCACCAGGTGATCTGTTGTCATTTTCCATGTGACTAAGTATTCAAATGATTGGGATACCCGATATGAACATGTCATGGATTACAGAGTTAACTACATGTATAAACACTCATGAACTGAGATTCTTTATGGTCGATGGCATGAGGAATCATAATTCTGACATTCTTAGTGATGTTTTTGATATCAGAATCCTAACGAAGCACATGCCAGAAGGGGAGGTAAGGTATCTCTGTTTATTTACTCCTCAATTTCAGACACAAATACACAATTTATCAAAAAAATGTTGATTTTTCAATTGGTGTATCAGCTCCCTGGACATTCAATCCATTGCGACTACTTACATGTCTCCAGAATCTAAGAATTCATGTAAGGTTTATTAAAATTTCAAGATTTAGTGGTATTATTATTATCCGTTGGGCATGGAAACTTTTGAATTGGTTTGTGGCCATGACCTTTTTCTCTCTCAAATTATATGGATTATCTTTATGGAAGAATTCTGTGGGAAATCTGGGATGCACAGAAAGAACACTAAGCATCTATGCATTGACATGATGGAGTTCTTATCTGCTTTGTTCGGTTGCATTTTGGTGAAACAAAATGTTCAGGGATCTGTTTATGCCCCGTCGTTTGACCATGGTGTTGGAGACCCAGTGGAAGATGATATCTTTGTGAACATTCAGTAAGTATCTTAACATTAAAATGTGGTCCAATAATCAGCACTTTATTAATTTCTGTCAGTTATATATATCGAAGAAAAATAAATGATGAAATATGGTAAGAAGATAAAGTTTAGCCAGCTTAGCTATATCCAGATTCTCCACCGTTTGATATAATTGCTATATTTGAATTTTTTATGAAGTCCATCATCTTTAAAACACTTTGCGGCCAAGCTATAGTAATACTCATAAGCTGTATCAAGAGGTAAGGAGAAAATCCAGGTGTTCACATTGAAAATCTGCATGTTCAAGAAATTCCTGTTGAGTAAATGTACCAAATATTTTGTACATGCATATCAACTCTGACAGATTAAGCCCCCATCGGTCATTAGTTTGGTTGTCCAGTATATTAACGAAACAAGAAATTGTAAAATAATTCCAATAGGCAATAATATCTTTTATTGTCAAGTTTTATGTAAGACTTGTATTCTTATTTCTTTGCTTATCTCCAATTAGCTTTGTGTTTTTACAAATCAGGTAATTGATTTTCCAAGTTGCTGCTACCTACTAGTTGCTACATTGTCTACTTATTTTGAATAAATTGATATGTTCTGTATGAACAGATTCCTTTGTTTTATTCCTTTGTGTAGGCACAAGGTTGTTATTGTAGAAGGTAACTATTTGCTCTTGGAAGATGGGGTATGGAAGGAGATATCATCTTTGTTTGACGAGAAATGGCAAGTTTTGATTTTACCAAAGCCCGTGTTTCTTCATTTCTCCTGTTGGCCTTTAAAGTTTTGAAACTTGTATGTTAACTCTGTTATGAAAATTCTGCTGTGAGTCTGTGACACTGCTCGGAAATTCTTCTGTGAAAATTATTCTTATGAAAGGCAATAGTATGTTTACTGAACCAACCACATATTCAGCTGATCATTAGCTTGTGCTTGTTGCATGCATGTCATTATTGTTATTAACTACATATTTAGTTTTCGCAGCCCAAGTAGATGGAGGTGCCATGGGATAGAAATACTAGGGGCATTGATTCACTTTTGACTTTCGAGGCTCATATCTTATTTCTTTTCTATAAATCCAATATTTAGCCCAGTCTTTATCGTAAATAATTTTAGCCACAAGAGTGCTTTCAGCTAAAAGAAACTATGATATTATTATACACTTTTGTTTGCTTTTTTCTCATTCTGGCTGCAGTATGTATTATTTACCAAATACATGTATATGTCTTTAGGCCTGTACTGAAAACAAAAATATGCTGCTTTGTTTGGAATCAATTGTACTATGACATAGCTTAGCATAATTGTTTTGACATGACTATTAATAGGCTTTCTAGTGAGTGCACCATTTGTTGAAACAGTTCACTAAAATCTCAGTAGCAAATTCTAGTCCCCGTCGCTGGCTTAAGTTGTCCACCTTTTTTGTTACTAGGGGGTTACTAAAAACAGATTTTAACTAGCATTTTGTTTCAGATGACAACAAAATTCAGTGACGGGAAGTAGAATACTTGCTAATAGGTAGTTACTATAAGAATTTTTTTTTTATATAAAGAAAATCAAATTATAATCCTTGAATGACGCTTGCTTGGACAATTTCAAGATCTGTAGAAAATGGCTTTAGATCTATCAAAAAAGATGCAACCTAATCTGATATCGATTTCTGCTTTTGCAACTTGAGAGAATTACAAAGGGTACCGGTTTTTCTAATTTGTTTGTTCCTGTTCTTTTCTAGGTTTATTGATATTGACATTGACAAAGCAATGCAGCGAGTTTTAAAGAGGCATATTTCAACTGGTACTCACTATGTACTTTTCAGTAATATATTACATCAGCTTCCTCCTATAGTAGGGAAGGCATTTTGAATTTACATGTGATTTTCGTTTCCTTCTCCATCAATAGGTAAACCTCCTGACATTGCTAAACAGCGGGTAAACTTCACATATTTAACTTGTTTGTTTTTCTGATTATCCACCTAAGTGTTGAGTATATGTATTTGATCTATTTTGTTGGTATTGCGCGTGACACACTTGCAACACTAAATTGCGTGATGCAGATAGAGAACAACGATAGGCTCAATGCAGAACTTATAATGAAGTCCAAGAAAAATGCTGATATAGTAATTAAGTCAGTTGATTTCTGAGGAATCTGTTCGTGCTAAGTCAAGCCCAAGCAGAGCATTGTATTCTTAGAAGGATGTGTGTAATAAAAGAATTGTCCTTGTGATTTTTCATTGTCCAACAAACTGACTTTAAAAAAAAAAAAAAATTATTATACAACAGATCTTAGTGCATTTATTTATTTATTTTAATTTTTTTTCCTCAGCCTTGCTTAAATATATCTTGTTAACAGCTGAAGTCTTAAAAATTATCCGTAGCTTTAGTGTAAGTACAGATATTTTGGCTGGGGTCCAAGTACATACTAGACATGAAAGCCACTGCTAGCTCAGATGTCGGGGGATCTCAAGTCACCGCTCTCGTTTACTGTCCTTTCAACTAAAATTATAAATCTAAAAAAAATAAAAATCATTAAGAATGTTCACTTTATTGTTTTGAATTATTTTACAAAAATTTCTATTTGGAAAACTTACCCAATACACTTCTTATTTATAAATGTTATACTTAAAGTTATGCAGAGTGAGAGGGGGTAATGAGATGTACTGCATGAGTGATTCCACAAGACAATAAATTTTTTAAGAGAAGCTTGAAATAAAATACTTTTGGCAACATTCAATATATGACCCTGCTTTCTCTCAATAGAATTTGGTTGTGGTGTTTCGATGCAAGAAGTTTGATGAATTATGCCAATAAAGTTCAGGTCGAAGAAACTCACTTTCATTATTGGACCTGATTGTCGTATTGTGTGCATGAAATTAGATTTTAACAAAATTAACAAATCAAGCATTAATTTTCAGGTTTCATAATTAGTTTTCGTAATATAAAAAATGGCTGGTATGTCGTCTATGATCAATGTTAAAAAATTATCTATGTCCATGTATGGTGGCACTACTTACCGTAAGAGCATTAAAATTATAGTTAAAATTACTCATATTTGAAACACGAGTTTTATCTTTAAGTTTTTAGTAGAAGTTAATTTGTAGTTGTAGGATTTGATGGGATAAGGAAGCTTTATTTATATATATTAGGATAAGGATCCAAAATAAATTTTGGAAGAGAATTTTTTCTTTAAATAAAAAATATTTGTTAATTTTTTTTTGTCAACATATGAGGCCTTCAGGTTAATATATGTGACTTTTTTTTATTTTATAAAAACTAATAGCAAGTATTTATTTTGTGAGCCAAAAATTTAAGTTTTAGTAGTCTTATCTTTGTCGGTCACATGTATATAATATTCGAATATTGATTTATAAATACATAAATATTTTTAAAAAATAATTATTAATAAACCCTTGCTTTAATAATTATAACGTATAGCGAAAAGGTATGAATAATGAATAATTAATCAATAATTTATCATAGTTTTCTTTCGAGAGATTATTGGGTTAATTATATATATAAATATAGAGAAAGCGATAAAATATTATCATAAAATAATATAATATTTTTTTTGTTTATGGGTTAAAATTTTACATGAATATTTATAATTTAATTAATATATAATTGATAGTTATATTTATTAGTAAATTATTAATACAAATTATAAAAATTTGCACGATTTATAATGAAATTTTATTATATTCTTTTTTATTAATACTAATTATGAATGTTTGATCTCATTCTTCTTAAAATATTCTTTTTATTGATTAAAATTTATTGAAAACTATAAAATTACGAGAGATTTATTAAATAGAGTATCAAACTCATTAAATTTTATAATTTTTAATAAATTTCAATTATTAAGAGCAAAATTCAAACGAGTGTTTCAAATAGTATGTTTCTAGTGTTACAGTATGAGAATGGAAATTTTACATGATGTACTTATAATATTTGGAGATAGATTCTTGGAACGCAAAAGAAGGAAATTTTTTGTTAAACAAATGACAAGGAATCCAAGAGGGGTGAATATATATATATATATATATATATATATATATATTAGCTATTAGACATAGAGAACTTGACAGGTATATACTTTAAATACATGTATGAGACTGTACGTACCTTGACTATTGACATCAAAAGAAGAAAAGGAGAAAGGGAAAGCACTTCAAAAGAAAACATATCAGATTTGAGATTCCCTTCATATTTCCAACCTACCGTTAATGTAAATCTTCAAGTGATTCCACCTGATATTTATTTTTTTCATTAATATAATGTTTGCATATTTTGTGCAAAGGTGTTACAGTTATGTTGAGCAGGCATAACGCGGTCCTTATATATTAAGCTTAGCTCCCCCTCCAAATGAAACCAACAAATATATAAAATGCGTTGATATATATAGATCCATACCCATACCAATATATATATATATATATATGTATATGAGGAAGGTTTAAATGATACCGATGTGATTTTTATTAAGTATTACATCATTTAATAATTTTATAATAAATATTAATTTTATAAATCTAAATGTTAGATTAAAAGTTCTTTATTCTTAGATTATATATATACAAAATTTTATATTAATCCAAGATAATTTGATACTTCATTTTTATAAAACAAAATTGACGTAATATATATATATTTCAAAATATAATAAAATATGAACATTTTGATTACCTTTAAGTTATTGTTCAATTTTAACAAAATTTGATATAAATATATAAAATGATATGAAGTTATAATTCAACGATTGAATTTACAAAATTTACATTTAATATAAAATTATTGAGCGGTGTAATACTTAGTAAAAATTACATCAATATCGTTTGAATCCTCTTCCTCTCTCTCTATATATATAATTAGATTTTAAATTTCAAATACTCAACAATATATCTAATGCTTAATAGCATTAGTTATCATAAGAGAACCAAATCTAATCTTAATTCCTTTATCCGCTAAGTCTACAAAATGAATTCAAATCAAATAAGTCACTAGAGATTTCAACTTAGTGTGCGTTTGATAAACAAAAAAGAAATAAGTGAGAAATAAAGTAGGTAAAAATGAAAAGTGACTAGAAATAGATAAAAAAAAAATAGAATATAAATTTAATTGTTTGGTTCAAGAGAAATATGTGAAAAATAAGGTATATATAAGAGAGAGTAGAGAAAAATAAATAAGAGAGTGAGACCTACTATCTTTTAATTTTATACTCTCTTATTCCTCTTCAATTAAATAATCTCACTTATTTTCATTCTTTTATTTTGACTCTCTTTACCTTTGTTCTTACCTGAGATCGGAGTGGTGACGATCTCTGGGCAAGATAGGTGAGCCTCTTCCGCTTGATACCTCTGCTGTTCCGAGATAAGGTTGGTATCTGCAAAAGAGACTCCAATGTTTAAGTTAGTCTTTGATCATATGAATGTCTCGTATATGTAGTGCACGTACCTTAGTATGAATTAAGATTTTTCTCTTAGGCGAGACTAATATGGGCCCACTACTGGTCGTGACCCAATAGATAATGGGCCTTTAAATTGTCCAATGTTGTGTAGCGCTCAGATACTGAGCTCGATCTCGATATCCTGCATGGATAGTAAAACCTTATTTCTTATCCATTTTTTCTTAACTAAACAAGACATTAAGAAACGCTAGGTTTTATAGTTCTAATTTCTAGTACAATTTCTTTATAATTCTAATTGCAAGACATTACTTACTTGGGAATAGGAAATGAAAGTTGCATCCTTCACCTCTGGTATTAATTAATATTCCCTCCGTTTTTTTTCATAGTCGTTTAAGGTTTTGCACGAGAATTAAGGAAATCATTGATATTTTAGTTTTCAAAAATATTTATTACTTACTTTTCTATTTTACCCTTCTTTTTTTTTGCATTTTTTAGACTGTTGAACTACTCCATTAAATAGTTATCCTTTATTTATTTATTTTTTTATAGTATTTTGTTGGGAACATATTACTCTTATAAATGCACATTAACTTTATAGTATTTTGTTGGGAACATATTGCTCTTATAAATGCACATTAACTTTATATGAGTAGTTAGAGAAAAATTAGGTAGATATTAAAAATAAATACACACATTTTTCAGGAAACATGTATTAATTATCAAGGGTAAAAATGGAAGAAAAAAATTAATAACTCATTGATTTTAGTAATATGACAATGAAGAAAAAACAACAAACTCTGACAAAACAACTATGAAAAAAAAAACGGAGGGAGTACTAAGAATCTATTAGGATATTAGTTTAAAAATATTTTTTAAAATATTTTTTTATAAGAAATATTTTTTATTTTCAGTAAAAAAATTTGTAAAAATATTTTCGACTTATATATATATACTTCATTTGTTCGCAAACTTATCTATACACTTCCTTTATGCGTATTTTCCCAATTTATAGCGACAAATTAATATAAAACTTGACGCACTGATTGAATCATTGCAGAAACCAAACGAACTTGCATTCGATCTGCAACTCCGGCTGGGACCACTCTACAGTGTTAGCCTCCCAACCATATGTGATAATGATCATGATCGGTTCTTGCGTGTTATTTAGATCAATCACCTCAAAAATTATAGAGTTGGAAAAAAAATGCAAATAGCGAAACCATCAACTTTCCTTCACCAACTAGCTTATAGCAATATATAGTTGCACTCCAACCAAGCACATGCAGACATCACTGATTAGTATTTTCAAAAGAAATTGGAAATATATGCGTCCCATAGTTTCAGACACTGAAAGCAACAATTTGACATATTAAGGCACTTATTTGGTGACATTGACTCGTTATATCTTATAATGTGAGATCACACATTTGAGTGAGTCATGCAATGTCTCTAGAGAAAACGATGTGCGTTTGTTCAAGAATAATTTTCTCGACTCAAAATGATTATGCTGAATGTTAAATAAATTTAAACTTGATGGTTGAAAAGTGTAATATTAATTAAGGGCTTAAGCCATAAAAAGTATACATGTGTGGCCACAGAACTTTCGGTAAAAGTGTAAACAATAAAAGTTCGTAATAACAAAAAAATATAGTTTCAAAAGTTTTCAATCAATTTTGATGCTTAAGACTTACGTAAATTCTCTTGCGTAATGTCATTTTTTGTTGTCATATTTTAGTGTGATTTTGTTAAGAATATATAATATATAGCTAGATATCTCTTACAAGGCCTAAGCTAATATTTACCAATGGATCAGATTATCAATAAAAAAAATCATAGGAATTCAAAATCTGGCTACTATAATCAAAGTCAATCTCAGTAGTTGTTAATACCATTTCATCACCCGACGGAGGATATTAATAAATAAAAAATTATATAATATCTTCAAATATATATATTTTTAAAGAGTTTATTTCAATTAGTTGAGCAATGAATTGTTATGAACCTCCTTAATATTATGATTGATTTTCACACAAACAAAATTATATTTTTTTAATCAGATATATATCATAATAAGAATTTCTATTAAACCCCAATATCCATTTGTAAATGCCACCAACATTTAAATGAGGTGTCATTTACGCGTACTGATGTTTTCACCAATATTTTCCCCTCTCGTCAATATATAAAATATCTTGGAAGGAATATAATAATAAATTAAGAACCTATTTCAATGGGCATGCATAAATGCTCCATGAACACGCACATGTTCTTGTTTCCCATCTACCATGTTCAGGGAACATTTCCAGTACTATCTATTCGTCACTTGATGATCAAAACAAAAACTAACGTAAATGTAATAAATACGGTTTTAATATTATATGAAATATGGTTAATGGCAAGGAATCTAATAATGATAAGGAAAAACTTTACAAGACAATTTTAAATGTAAAGCATGATAATTTGTCGATCGCTACAACTACAACAGACAAACACATTGTTGAAATTATTATTAAGCAAGCACTCACACAAAACAAGCAAAGATATATATAAGAAAGCCAAGTCTAACAACATAATTGAGAGTCATTGTTCATAATTAGTACTTAATTAGACAAGCATCTGATTGTTTTGTTTGAAATATTATATGACAAACCATAGTGATACACAAATTAACTATAATTCAACACCCTGCTATGCCCATCCGTGTCTGCTGCAGCATATCCTTACTTTAGTTACTAAGCGAACTAGGCACCACAATTACAAAGGATGGACCAGGTCATGAATTGTGCCACTAGTCTAGCTCCTGTTCTTCGATTTCGCCATGGCTCTTGGTGCTGAAATAATTAAATTCAAACTTTGTTTTAGAATGTATCTACAAATATATAAGATCAGTAGAATTCGCATACATATTAATAAATACTTTCATGAGTGAATAGATTATAGACGGTTTATGTATAATATTGTAATTAGAAATTAATAGGATTCTTTTCTTGCAAATATAGTAATTTAAAGACTTTATACTTACCAAGACCAAGACCAATAGCTTCCTTTCCTTTCATTATGCGTAAACGCTTGCATGATTCAACAAACATCCTGGTTTAAATGAAGAAAATCCATGTTATACCGTAAGCATGTGCTATATTATTGGAAGTTAAACAGCTCTTTGTTATATATTAATTAATCAGAACGTTTAATAAACACTGGTTTTTGTGTTCGAACTTGGTTAGTATGGTAATTATATATCACAATTACATAATTAACACATTTTATTTTCCCTTTTCTCTTTCTATCACATCATATTCCTCATCATACCTACTTTTCTTTTTCTTTCTCTTCCTAAACTATCAACAAACATGGTAGTGTTCGTTTCATATTATATCATTTTCCTATTTGTTTTTTGTGCAAGCTTTTATACCAAATGACTTATCATCGAAATACACATCTATATTTAAAATATTTTTGATACATAAATGATGATGATAATAATATAAATTGGCGTAATATGATATATATATATATATATATAAATAAATAAAAGGAGACATTTCGATCTTCTGATGCATGCATGCAGACCGACCGATATTATATGAAACATTTTTAATCCCTAGAAATTATATGATTTTGTAGGTAAAGTTTGTTAAATAGAGACTACATTTAAAGTTTTTCTTCTTCCTCTATTACATAGTTATCGAAGCCAAATTCATTTTATGTGGAGTAGTGGTGAAAGACTTACTCCCATGGGACATCACCGACAAGCATCCAGTCACCATCCTTGTCCTCATAGGTTGGGACATAATCAGAGCTGTTCAAAAGATCCATCAGCTTACTCTCATTCATGAAATCCTTCATTCCTTGGGATTCACAATTGCCTTACATGGCATTCCAACAACAACACAACATTAATTAGTAACCAATAAGATCCGATTCAATAACCAAATGAAGCTTCTAATGTACATGCATGCATGCCTCGATGTCCTCTTTTAACCAACTGAACATAAGTTCAATTTCTGGGTTATATATATTTGGAGTTGCATGTAGCTAGATATTATTTCAATTGCTGGTTTGTTTTTTGAAATTAAAATGAAGAATTATTTAAAGGCAGGGGACTTAATTATATAAAAGAAAAGGATTGTGTTTAATTACCAATTGTGAAGGAGCTGAACATATTGCCCAAAGAATCAGAGAGCTCTCGGTAACTCTTGTACATCTTCAAGTCCACTTTGCGGAGGTAAGGTGCTCCATCCATGCTAACTTTCACAAAGCTTGGATTAGGGCTACTGTTCTTCTCACTCTCTTCTCCAACGCTCTTTTGCACAGCTAACATGTTCTTCCGGAAGGACCTCACAGGTGGCCAACCCACCACCTGCGCCCTACAATTTCAACTCATCACTTTATTATATATCTCAATACGCATGCATGCTTATATATCCAAGTTAAAATGAATAGATTGATCATATAGTGAAGCAGTTTAGGCTTCTTTGAAGAATTAATTAATTAGTTCTTGGACATCTCACATCCACGGTAATATTGTATGGCCAAATAAAATACATAAATTAGAGATAATTCTAATTTTATAAAATTGAGTTATGGTTATAAACTTATATTCTAAAATTAGTTATCTAAGAAAATTAGAAATATATAGCGTGATGATTGAGAGCATATAATTTTGTATAAATATAAAGATTACGTAAGCACGAAATTAATAAATTTTCTATTTTATATAAATCTAGTCCTTAAATATATAGATTGACAAGCATGATAATATGATATATTTAAATTTGCTTAACTATTTACTAGTGCAGTTTCACTTTTGCTAACCCAGACAGTGTTTTTACGTCACTACCTAAATGAATCTGCAGAAGAAGAAACTGTGCCATGACGGATTAGGACAAGAGAAGTGTAACTTTTCTCATGGGTACTACATATCATCACAACTTTCAGAAATAATTGTAAATTATTGCCCTTTTCTCTATAACTGGCTAAGCAAGTAGAACACGGTTTTAGCATGAAATTGAACGTGATTCTATATTTATGTTGTACAAGAGTTGAAGACGTCTAATTTTTCCATTGCATATTACACAGGAAATAAAAATATTTCTTCTTTTGGACAAAACTCATAAAAGTATAGTCTTGTTTTTTTTTTTTAATCTCTTTCTCTCTCCTCTCTCTCACAAGTTTTTACAGTCTCTTTCATTTCTTTAGTCCATCCTCTACGATCTAATCTTTTTCGCCATCGTTGTTTCTATCTCTTCCACAAGCAAGTGTCATATATAAAACAAAAATATAAAACTACATGCGAATTATAGCCCTAGACCATACTATGAATTAGTATATGATACAATATACCGTCTTTACATGCTTTCTCTTTTAAAAAAAAAAACCGTGTTGTAAGGTAAAGATAAATTATCCTAACTTATATATATTTTTAAAGTTATGTTATTAGTCGATGTAAGATGTTGGAGAAGAATATAAAATTATAAAGAATAACTTACTTGGCTGGAGGCTTAGCAGGATCTGCAGGCAGAAGGGTCTTCTCCTTAGGCAAAGTGTTGTGTTTATCAGTTGGATCTGCCACAGTAGTTGGTTCCTTTGAAGACAGATTAAGCATCAAATCCACTGTGGCAGTTTCATGATCATGAGTTTCAGTCTCAGAGAAACCTCTCTTTCTGACAACTTCTTCAGTGGCAGCGTTTCCAGGCAATCCAAGCCTTAGCTCAGTTTCCTCAAACCCCATGTTCTCCTTCTTGAGGCCAACCTCCATGAGTTTTCACTCTCTTATATGCTCTTTATCTCTCTTTATTATTCTCTCTCTATGCATTCAGCTATGATAGGGTGTGGGGGTACTAATGTACTATGGTATAGGGGCAGGGGCAGGACAAGGAGGGGTAGCGTTTGGGCATTAATACAAGGACGCATGGTGCGTCCTGTCTTTATAATTGAATTTTTTTTAGAGGGAATGGGTTTGTGACACGTGGAGGAATGTGTGAGCTGGACTCTTCTGTGCATGCTGCCCTTGGTGACGACAACGTGATGTTATCTTCCTATGATTGTTCAGTGGAAGAAGCGGAAGTGGACACCCCATGTTGCTTGCTTACACCACTTTTTTTCCTTTCTTTATTAATTACTCCTAGGGTTTCGTCGTTTCACACACAAGGGTAAGTATATAAGTCACCCTTTTCCTGGCTTTTTCATTCTAAATTATTCTTCAACTGTTGTTCCTGTTTCCCTTCCTCAACTCGTATGTATTATCACACACAGCTTTTTATTTATTATTACACTTCATTGCATGCACACGCAAGATGGATTACATATTCCATATATATGGACCATGTAACTTTTTTATGTAAATGAATTGTGATACACTTTACTAAGCAAAGATCACCGTTGGAGGTTTGGATTTAGCAACAGTACGTTATAATTGGTCTTAGATCAATGATCAACCTAGGATCGGTAAAAAAATATTCTGTACTCGCTTCCCAAGTGGACTCTTACGTGGATGCATGCTTCAAAAACAAAAAGACTTCTAATATATTTTACCATTGATCAGAAATTATTATATATGTACAGCCTCAAATTAAACTCCCTAATTTTCTGCATCAATTGTTTTCATTCAGTTAATTCATATATGCGTGTGTATTCACCAAAATTTTCTATTTAGCTAGAATTGTGAATCAGAGTTGTAAATAGCCATATAATTCACGCATATCGTACGTGTTAATCAGCTTACACTACTGAAAGTGACGATACTTGATCTCCGATGACAAGAAGATTTTATGTTTCTAACGTCTTGCTCAACATGCGTATATTCATGACTATATAATCTGTATCCTTACATTATTTTTGTCAATCTATATCTATGGTTCGGTAATTGTCAAACTTATTGCGTTGGTTCTTGTGAAGTAGGCATGTTGCCTATTAAGATAACCATATGGAGTTCAGATTGTTGTTCAGTGGTACAGAAACAAGTGAAACATAAAATTAATTAAAAGAAAATGAAAGGCATGTTTGCGGTTGGTGCATAACTTGCAAATGATTTTATTAAACCTTGATGTAATTATGTTGTATTATATTTATGAGCATGCTAAAAATATGTTACACAAACCATGGATAAACTTTATTGGTTAATTAATCTTTCTAGTTGTAATATATGTAATGCTTAATTAATACGAACTCTAATTTTATTTTATTTTTTGTTGATGTAAAATCTCAAACAGACATATCTTATGTTATACAAGAAAGGTGGAAGTGGTGGTGAAAAAAAAGAAGAAGATATTGATCAAGGATGCAATTATTTGATAGGAACACGTAACTGTTTGTTGTTACTGTGTACATACACAAAGATTTGTGGTTTGATCGGTGAGGTGTTACTTCAGAATTGCACGCACACATGGTGGCCACGTCCACGTTGCCCAATTGTCCTCCCCTTAATTCAACATCTAGGATTGTCAAACTGGACAGTGAGAAAAGAAATTGAAAAGATTGTGTCCAAGATTATGTTAGAGACGTTGTGATCGTGGTTGATATTCGAGCCAGGTTAAGTTTGAGTTGAGACACCCAAATCTTGTATTTGGCAATGGTTTTTAATTTGTGGGATGACTGTGATACTCATTCACGCAAGTTGAGGGACATCATCTCAAAGGAAATCCATTTTGTGATCAAGTCTACCAACTTATCAAGTAGAACCAATATATTTAAGTTCATAATTATAATTTCAAAAATTATATCTCCTTGCGGAAACTTTTCTTTATATTAGGTACAACCTAACATGTTGCTACTAATTAATTAGCTTTTTAAGTGTTAAGGAATTATTGCTATGTATGACTTTGAACTTATATGTCTCTACACCACACCTACTTAGCTTAGACGTAGTCCTACTTAACATGTATGTTTTTAGGCACACCATAATTGAACAATTAATATTTGACTAAAACAAAGAGTTTGAACTTCTTTGTTTTTTAAGTTTCTCTTTCTCGTTGTTTTGTGTTTTTGTAAATTCTTTTAAATATTCGAATGTTTGCATATATAGTTTGAAATTCATAATCAAATTTCAAATTGGAGAATTTTTTATATGACTGAGTTCCGAAATTTTTCTTATCACGTAGATTAGAGGGATACACATATTGATGTTTGAGTGGAAGAAACGCGAATCCTTCAAGCATGTAATCTTGAGATTCATACGTTTATAGAAAAACGCTAAAGAGATTTCGGTTTTATTTGGGAGATCAAGCTTTTTATCACCTTCTTGGTGATATAGGATATTTCAAATAAAAAAATAATTAAAAAAAACTACAATGTTATAAATTTTAATAAACTAGAAAACTTTATAAAATGCAAGAAATCACATAGAAGTTTAACTATATTTTTATAAAAGGTAAACTTTGCTTTAACGTACCTTTGTTTTCCATTATATTTTTTATAAGCTAAAAATATTATCAGTAAGAACTTAGTACGAAGCACAAGGTGTGCCCACTTTTTTTTCTTTTTCATTAAAATTTGACTTATATTCACTCATTGAAAAGTTAATAACAAAAAAAAAGTTATTTAAAAGCTCACCATCACTACCAAAACAACCCCCTAAAATGGCACATCTAGAATATGAATATGTTGACATATATACATATAGGAAAAGGGCATCAGATGGGTCAAACATGTGAAATTTCATAAAAAGGGGGGAATATGAATTAGGAAGTAATAAAATGTGAATACGAAAAATGGTGTAAGGAGGTGATTTATGTTGAATTTTCCCTTTTCCCACTAATTGGGCATAGGGAAGGAAGTGGGGGCCAATGTCAGAGTCATGTGGTAAGATTCATTGTAAGGTCCCACGGAAGTGGGCATGTGGGTTTGTTGGGGTTATGTAGTCCTAGGTGTCAAACCCTATCCCATGTGCGCCGCGAGAGGGCACCCCACTCACTCTCTCCCCCTTCAACTCACACTCACACACCACCCTGCCTCTCCTTTACCTTTTATCTAAATTATATTTTTACTTTCTTTATTTCTTTTCAATTTTTTATTTAATTTTATCATTTTTAAAAGATTCATTTCATCTTTCAATTTTTTAAAAATATTTAATATTATTATTTTTCCAAATTGATACCAACAACGTTAATAAAATTAAATGAAATAAAAATATTGAATATTTTTTTTAGCATTTTAAATTATCCAATTTGATTATATAATTTTCAAATACTGTTTAATATTGTCTTTTATTTGAATTTTATTAATGTTATTAATGTTAATTTGGATGGAAGAATAATATTGAACATTTTTAAAAAATAAGAGGATGTAATTGAACTATTTAAAAATAATGAGATCAACTTAAATTTTAAAAATAAATAGAGGGACCAAAAGCATAATTTAGCCTACCTTTTAACCCTTCTATTCAATATTCATTCTTAGCTCACTACAAAACAATTGTCATACAATGACATAATACTTGTCATTAAAAATTATTTTTATCTACACTATAAATATAATATATGTTGATATATTATTAAAAATAATAGATATAAACTATAGTGACATATAATATATGTTATTAAATCTTTTTCAAAATTATGACTAAAATAATGTATAGTTATATATTAAATAGATTCATAACTACATATTTTATACTTCTAGTGACATTTTTTGTATATCCATTATAATTTATACTTACTTTTTGTGCGTAGTTATATGTTAAATAGATTTATATTTATATATTTTGTACTTATAATAACATTTTTTTGTATGTTTAGTATATGTAACATTTCTTGTAATAACTTAATTTTATATTACCATTTAGAATTAAGAAAAGCAAAAATAAGTGTTCCAAGATAATATAAAATAATTTTATATTGTGATTGAATTATATGTCATTATATATTATATGATAAATTTGTTAGTTTTTATAATAATTATCTTTAAAATTGTATTGATAGTTAATTTTGATCGATTAATTGAAGAAAACTTGACCATTAAATTTGAAAGAAAAGAATATATGCACAAGAATAATACTTCATGTAATTTAACGGGGAAAAAATATACTATTCTATCATTTCTATGATGTTTTCCCCATATGATCACTTCTTATTCTGAAAACTAAAGACTTTCACCTAATTAAATTGAAAATATGTATGCTCTAAATCACCAGAGATGACTTATAATAATTGAGAATTGAAGTGTTCAGAGTCTTAAGTTTGTTTATTGTAATTCCTACATATTAAAAGAAAATTGTATACTCAAAAAGCCCACAACAATAGATTTTCTCACCATAGACTTATTCTCATTTTTTTTTTCAAACATAAATGTTGCTTATCAAAGTCTAATTAATAGGGTGAATTAGAGGAAATACCAATCATCATTGTAAAAAAAAAATAAAAATAAAAACTCGATCTTAATTCAAATGTATTCATACAGATATTTGATTAACATTGGTGTTCCGACCCCGATGCGACTGAGGCATTGAAGTTTTTCATTCCCAGACTATCGAATAGGAGAAGCATGTGACTAGTTCACTATCAAGTCTACACGGAGAAATGCTACTATACAAATAATGGTTTACATGTATGGTATATGCAAAATTCATAATTATTTTTTATTATCTCTTTCGGAATCAACAAGTATTAAGATATTTTTTTAATATGAATATAATTCACACAATATTCTAAAATTAATAATTAAAAATTAATCTACGCTGGTAAAATATGACTTCCACCAAACAACAAAAAAAATAAGGTATTTAAATGATTTCATATATAAAATCATACGAAATGAATTATTAGTTTTTGATACAACGTTTAATTTGGAGTGGAAGCAGAGTACTGGAGGGGAAGAGTTACATCGTACCATAGTGATATTATAGATCAATGATTTATTTTTGCTTTCTGTTCAAATAATTATGCAATAATGATTATA